CTACATCTCGTGTCGGTCGGGTGTGGTGGGGCACTTAGGCTCGCGGGGGCGCGTCAGATCTTATCCGAAGCAGCACGGCGGTTGATCCCAACTGAGGCATAGGGCAGCTACTTGGAGCTGATGGGTGGGTGCGGCGGCGCGAATGTGGAGTCATGGAGGGCTAGGTGTGATGTGTGGGGACCTTTGTGCGCGGGCTGGTCTCCAGCCAACTCCGATCGGATGTGGCGTCGTGGGCCATTGTGCATCAGGCTCTCTGATGTATGTTGACTGCGGCGTCAAGGTGTAGCCTTGCACGCGTGCGGTGACCAGACGGTGTTGCTACGGTCCACGGCTTTGTCATGGTGATCCAGATTCGGTTAGCCGGATGGTAGTGACTGCAAACTATATTACAGTGACTTCCTACAGCTCCACGACTGCGGTGGTCACCGAAAGATCTTCGGGATGGTTCATTTCTCCTGATCCAGTGGTTGACTTCGGTGGTGATATAAAAATTATAAATAGTGGCTGGACACGAAGGGATGGTTATGTAGTGGTTACGGTCGCATCACATGTACCTGCTGGGATTGCGGAAAAGTGGTCGCGACAACACATGAGCGATTTTGATTATGGTGCTACTTGAGCACCCGGTCTCAAGCTCCGGGGCGAAAGTATATATAGGTCAGACCCGAGTGGTTATACCTGGCAATGGCGATGTTTTTCTTACATCGTCACCTTTTTGAAAGGATTGCTTGGATTGATTCTTCAGCGTGAAAACCTATATACTGCCCTTGTGGTTGGATCCGGCGACGACGTTGCTTGAGTGTCCCTCCCTTCTTAAAGACATTGCTATTGAAGAACCTTGTCACCCATGTGATGTCATGAGATGGTTGGTGCAGATATAGTAAGTTTATGATTGCAGATTTGAACGCTTTGGGGCCTTTTTCCTTTTTGCTCGCCTACGCATAGTTTGCTGGCCAATTTTTGATATGTGTGAGTTGGTGTTGACTGTGTGCATTCTAACTATGCTAAGGCTGAGTGTTTACTCATTGTGTTATATATCTTCTTCATACTTCATTTTGAGCCAATAAAATCCACCATTTGTCCAAATGACCGAAGTGGGAGATTCTTACTTTTGGACTAGTCTTTTGGAAAGATATTTTTTTATCAACAATGTACAACAGTGATTTGGAGTGGGGAGAATACCATATTCTGGGAGGATTGATGGGTGGGAGATAAACCTCTCAAACAATACTACCCCAGAATGTATAGTTTCAGTTTTGATATTAATAAAGATGTGGTTGAGGCCATTAATAAAGGGCTAGGAGGGAGTCACTTTTAGAAGAACTCTCCGGGGAGAAGCTTTGGAGTTCTGGAATAGTTTGAAATTGAGAAGTGAGGAGGTTAGAATGATGGGAGGAAAAGATAAAACTAAATGGATGCTCACAGGTCACCGATGGCAGAAAATTCACTGTTATCTCTTGGCATAAATTTCCAATTAAATCTGTTTTTGGTTTTCAGCAAGAAAATCATGTGGAAAATATTCCCTAGAAAATCAAGCGTTTCTGTGGCTTATGATCAAGAAATTCATCGTCACTGAAGATAATTTTCTTCAAAGAGAATGGAAACATGGCAAATTGTGTGTCTATTGTGGAAATGATGAGTATTGATCATTTAATTTTTCCAGTGTTCAGCTGCTAGACTTATCTGGAGTCTTTTAAAATGTAGTTTTGATTTGCAATCTAGTCCTGCTACTCTGTTCATTGCTTTGGTAGGTAGATTAAGGATTTCCCAAAGGATGATAGGCGGCTGTGCCATTACTACAATGTTTTGGGTAATCTGGAAATGCAAAACAATATTATTTTTGGGAGAAAAATTATATCTGACCGTATGACTTTGGTCAAGATGATGTGTTCCTGGATAATGGGTTGGTCTATATTGCAGATAAAGTAGGCCAGCCAAAAACTACTGATGACGGGGGCAAAGCTAATCGAGCAGATGTTTTTTTAGAACGGAGGCTCAAAAAGAGAGCCCGACTTTGAATTAACAAAGCCATCAACCGGCCAGGGATTACACAAGGCCACCAATACAACCAACTAAAAACAGAAAAGAAAATAAACTGCAGGTACATGGTGATGCCGAAGCAGCTTACACGCACCAAAGACTACACGCCCTATAGAAGTAAACAGAATAAGCACTTGCATGTAGTCAACGGAGTCCTCCAAGTGAACTTTAGTCAGTACGACAAACAGAGGGGAACTTCGGGCGGAGCCATTGCCCAACGTCAATGGACCGAGTCCTCATCTACCCTGGAAGGTGCACATCGAAACAATGCCACTCCTCCCCAAATCCGGAGGGGACCCCTGCCCCTCGCCTTGGCTCGAAAGGCGCCGGACCGCCGGAAGATGGAATTGCCCTCCCTAGAGCAAGGAAAGGGCATGATTCTGGGCACCAAGGGAGATACTCAGCTCGACACGCCGCTGCACGAAGGGTTCCAGAAGAAAGTCCACACCGCAGCCCACTGATACAAGCACGAAGAGGAAAAACAGCACAAGGGAGATGTCACTGAACAAACGAATAGCAAGGAGAAAAAGGAGCATCCATAACTGGAATCAGATCAACCCGCAGAATCAGCTCCATGACCTTGCAACCGCATCTGGTTGCTGCCAATACAAAGGAGAGGATCCCTATCCCCTCCCTGCCCAAGGCAGAGACGATGAGCAAGCAAGCACAGATCGGCCAACGGACAATCGAGAGGACAACGGACCGACACTAATTCAGAGACAAAGCATCATGCTCCAAATCCCTCGCCGAAGACGCAGCCACCCAGCCACCACCGCCCAGCACCACAGCACACTCCCACCTTGCCCAAGCCGGCACCTTCAAGAAGGAGGCGGCGCATGCCGCACCGTTGTCGACCTGTCTCGGCAAGACATGGGATTTCTCCCGGGCATGGAGCAGGAGGGAGAGGGCACGAACCTCGGTGGCGCCTCCAAGGAGGGGCATGGCACCGGCCGGTGTCGCCGCCGTCGTGGCTAGACCACCCCAGCCAAGGATTTCTCCCGATTCAGTCCGCATCTCCGGGCAGCCCAACGCCGGATCCGGCGGCCAGAGGCCACCGACGACCAGATCCGGTGGGGCAAAGTGTTGCGTGGGGGAGGGAGACCGCCTTCAGATCCAGCCGCGGACGAGGAGGGCGCAACACCCGCTGCGACCGGCGACAGCTCCCGCCGTCCCTCGCCACCCTCACGGCCAAGGAAACGGAGGGCCACCACCTGCGGCGCCGCTTGCAGCAGGAGACAGCGCCGCCTCGCCACCCGAGGCCGCCGCCTCGGCGTCCGGTGCCCTCCGGTCGGGAGCAGCAAATCCTCGCCGCCGCCGTCCATGACGACCCCGCGGACGGCGCCGGAGGTCTCCTCGGGCGGCGGCGAGGGGGGAGGGGGAGGTGGGAGGGAAGGTTCGGCGGCTAGGGTTCGTCGCCACCCGAGTCGCCCCAAGCGGAGCGGCGCGGGGGCCTGGGGATCTATCGCACAGTAGGGAAGTTCTCCCCCATGGGTTCCTTCAATCATCGAGCAGATGTCAAGTGAGGTGTTTTGTGCTTCCTAGGGATGGAGACCAGGGGTGCTGCGAATTGCCGATGACTGAAGATGATGCATCAAGACACTGAAGACTTCTTGCGTGCATACCCTTTGGTGATGTTTCCTGGAAAGCTGAAGTTCTCTTTTTCCCTATTTTCGTTCGTCCGGTAGTTGGTTTGATCTGAACTTGGATATTGGTTTGGTGACTTTGTTAGTTGTGGTTTGGAGTCTTTGGATGTTGTAGCCAATGGGCAGGGATCCTTTTGGCGATCTTGCATGCATGATGAGGTTTACGCTTCGAATCCCACCTACGTAAGCCTGTTGTACTTTCGTTTGGAACTTTAGTCGTAGTAGTTTGCGGTTTGTAAAAGACCAGATGGTTTCTTTACATGAAAATCGGAGAGGGCAGCCTCTCTTCCAATAATTAAAGAAACAAAAAACAGCTGATCCGCAATGAGTAGTCCATGGACTAGAGCATATGTTTCTGTGTGATGAAGCGAGGTTCAATGCATGTGTCCGGCCACAGCAAAGATACCATCGCCCGTCGCATCGTGAGCTACGCATCTATAACACCTTGTTTAAGAACTGCAAGCAACTCTTATTCATCTGCAGGGCTGTCCCTCTATACGCTTTATATTATGTTTTTCTTCCAACGGAAACCAGCGGTGGGCTGTGACCGCATGCAGACGGAATGCGAAGGGTGAGGATTATAGCTGGTTGAACCAAAATTATAGCGGTTGGATGGTGTTTATGTGCGACGGACATGGCTAGGAGGCTCCACCTTGTGTGCGTTGATCGACACGAGTGCTCGCAATTTTTTCGTTTTCCGACCGCCGGTGCCCGGGACGAAGCAAACTTCACGCGGCCGAACTTGCTTCGAGCTACCGCTAAGCCGTCCAACCTCTCGTTTCTCCCGGCATGGTAGGTGATTGGTCCGCATCACCATTTGAGGCCGCGCGCCGTCGCTAGCTGCTGCAATACATTGAATCAGGCCGGACAAGGGACGTACTGGTCGTAACTACTGCTTTGCAAATAACGAGCGATCGACAGCACTGACAGCCTAGCCCAACGCCAGATCGGTCGGCCTACTTAGCTCACAACCCAAGTATGTCTGTCAAGATACTACTCGCCGAGTCGCGATCGAGCCACCCCGGCCGGACCCGCACCAAGACTCCGGCAGGTCGGTCGTCGTGGCCATTCCCCGGCGCCACCGTACGTACGCCCCTAGATCTTCACTCTCCAATAGCGCTTACACACGCCCTAGTCCTAGTGTCCCACATTCCCAACTCCCAACAACACACGGAGTAGTACGTGCCACGGCCTCTGCCTATAAACCCGCCAGGCTCCGTCGCTAGCTACTCGCGCCCATACAGCTCCATCGTCGCCGGGAGAGAACGTTCTATTTCATTCCGTCCCACCCTTTCAAATTCATCGATCCGGGGACCGATGGCCGCCATGAAGGTCATTGCTTACCACAGCCGATTGAGCAGGCATTTCTTGATTTCTCTTGTAGCTAATTAGTTTGATCGGTTAGTTGTATATGATGACGGCTGTAGAAGATCGTGGTGAAGCTGGAACTGCACTGCGACAGGGAGAAGCAGAAGGCGATCAAGACCGTCTCCACTCTCTGTGGTGACTTACTTACTCCCCTTCTCTTTCTCCGAATCCGTCCGGAATTGTATCTTGCTAGCTTGGTCTGCTTCGTCGACAACATGCATGCACTGAGGCCACTCACTCATCCACGTACCATATCTCAGTTTGGCGCTTCTGACGACGACAACCGTGTGCCTTCCTTCCCCAGGTATTGACCAGATCGTCGTGGACACGAAGGACGGCAAGATGACGGTCGTGGGCACAGTCGACCCCGTCGACGTCGTCTGCAAGCTGCGCAAGTGCTTCTGCTCGGTGTGGATGGTCTCCGTCGGCCCGGCCAAGGAGGAGGAGAAGAACAATGAGGGCGGCGGGGACAAGAAGGTCGGCGACACGAAGGGCGCGTGCACGGCCATCCCAGTGCGCCAGCCGTGCTACCCGCCGCCTCACCACCCGCACCCGTGCTACTTCGTCCACCACACCGAGGAGCACCCCCACGAGTGCGTCATCTGCTGATCGACGGTTTTGTAGCCGAACTGCATCTCCATGCCAGCCATCGATCGGGACTCATCAGCCTACCTGCACCGGTGATCGACGGCGTTCGTTCTATAAATCTATGGCCGTGTGAGCTATATATTTTACCGGTGATCCGGCAGCTGCACATCTGCATGCTGAGCTTGCCAGATACGAAATTACAGTGTGGAGAAGAATTAAATAAATAAAACTGCTGCATTTGGGTTTCAAAGGCCGTTCGTTATTACATGCATGTCCCTTTGTTGCGAGCCAGCATGCGCCGTCCATCGTCCAAAACATGATTACGACCTACTACTCGTAATATACTGTCTATTGTCCATCACACAAAATACACATGATTAACCAACTACAGGTCTTAATTGCTGCTCTAACTACACAGAGTTTTCAGAAGAAAAAAATGATCGAAAGGGGTTTCCCCCGCCCCATTTTAAAATTTGTGGTTAACTAATTTCACCCAATCTCTATCCTTGTCATGGTAATATCTCTTAGCCCAAGAGGCTAGTAGCGCCATGTTGAACTCCCTTAAATTGGGAACACCAAGGCCGCCAAAGTCTTACTTCCGGGAAATTAATTAACCCCCAGTTAGCTAGGTGGTATCTATGGTTCTCATCAATATTGCCCCAGAAGAAGTGAGCCATCTGAGAAGTGATAGCTTTAATGCCCATTTTGGAAATTTGATCACTGACATTAAATACATGGGAATACTAGCAATGCATGACTTAAGCAAAACCAGTTTAGCTTCATAACTAAGTAATCTCCCTTTCCACCCACCGAAACGTTTGATGAATTTATCGACGATGGGTTGTATATCTTCTCTTCTTAGCTTCAGGTAGTGGAGCGGAAGTCCAAGGTATTTAAGAGGGAAATCCCCCACCTTGCAGCAGAAAATTTGGGATAAACTGCGGCGCCACCCAGCTTTTAGGTTCTACTTCTCCCTCCGCGGGGCGCTTCTCTCCGGTCCTCTTGGCCTCGTGTGGGTGTTCGCAGTGAGGCGGCGTGGGTGGCGGCGCAACCGCGATGGTGCATGGTGGTGGGCGGCGGTTTGGCTGATCGGCTCCGATCCGTTGGGCGGTGGGGATTGGAATACGGGAGAAATCTTTGCCGGTCTTCGGCTCCGATGCGGTGACACCTACGGGTGCCACCATTCCTTCCTGAAGGGTGTCGGTGATATCCATCCCCCACCTCCCTCCGCGTGCCGGGGAAACCCTAGGACATGTCCGGGCAGCAGCGTCGTCGGCGTCGCTTTCCTTCTTGGAGGTGCTGTTTTGTTCGCGGTGGTTCGGAGCCTTGGGTTGTAGTGGTTTGTCTCTGGTGGGCGTAGCGGTGGCGGGTCATCCGCGCTTGTCGAGCTGCCGTTGTTGGCATTTGCTTTTTCTTCTTTTTAATTTTGGATTGTTGTGCTGTTCCCCCCAGCAATCCTGTATCGGTGTTGGTTGCTTTGGAATACAAAGCGGGGGGAAACCCTTTTTCGGTAAACTAAAGAGGCTTTTTGGAATAATATGGGGAATAATCCCTGAAATGATTTTGTGCCTAACAGCTTTAGCAAGCATTCTGGAAAAAACATCAGCAACAAGGTTAAAAAGCATAGGGGAGATTGGGTCACCCTGCTTCAGACCTTTCCCTCCCACAAAGTATGATCCTAGCACATCATTAATTTTGACACAGAAAGAACTCTGTCGTAAAATGGATAAGATCCATCTTATCCATTTTGGTCCAAAACCTTAGGGTGTTAACATTTCAACTAGGACATCCCAGTTAACGCGATCATAAGCTTTCTTATAGTCTATTTTGAGGACAACTCCCAGTTTACCTGATTTGTGAACCTCATGTATAGCCTCGTGTGCAGTAACTACACTATCTAGAATGAATCTACCTCTCACAAAGGTGGTTTGACACGGAGATAGCAATCTCTGTCCCAAAGGGGAGACCCTATTAGTCATGGCTTTACTGAAGATTTTTACAGAACAGTTACTCAGGCAAATAGGCCTGAACTTCATCATGTGTCTAGCATCAGTTTCTTTTGGAATGAGAGTAACAATTGAATAGTTAAGTCTTTGTATATCTAGGGTCCCACACTCAAAGTCTCTCACCAAGGCCATAAAGTTGTCTTTGATCACCTCCCAAAATTGTTGGTAAAATAAAAAGGACGGCCCATCATGCCCAGGGGCACCACTAGCATATGACCCCATGATAGCCTCCTTGATTTCCTCCTCTGTGGAAGGTTTCTCTGGTAGTTCATTTTCAGCATCCGTAACAAGTTCATCCGCAGACCAAAAATGGTCACCCAGATGGATGTTGGGTTTTGGCTCAAAACCAAATAACGTTTTATAAAAACTAGTAGCTACATCTAGCATGTCTTTAGTGGAGTAGACAGGTCCATCAGGGCTTTCCAGGATAGAGAGATGGTTCTTCCTCCTGCGCTGGTTAGCAACAGCATGAAAGTATGCTGTGTTTTTGTCGCCCTCCAGGATTTTTCTATCTCTAGATCGTTGCCACATGGTAGTTTCCTCTTTAGCCCAAATTCCCTGGAGCTCTTCTTTTATTCTTTTCATTCTGAGGATATCCTCAGCATCAACCCTATTTTGTTCAGAAAAGACATCTGAAATCTCAAACTCTTGCAAGAGATATTTTTTCTTTTTCTTCATAACAACATCTAGTTTGATGATCCAACCTTTCACCGTTTTCCTAAACAACTTAGTTTTGAATTGCCATGTTTCAATGGCAGAGCTGAAAGGGGATGGAGTAGCCCATATCTTCTCAACCAAAGCCTTAAAATCAGGCTGGCCTAACCACCATTTGTTGAACCTAAACGGCTTGGTGGCAGCTATGCTCCCTACCCCCTAGTCCAGAAGTAAGGGGTATGATCACTGCCAACTCTAGGCAGTGCACACATAGTAGTTAGGGGGAAATGACTGTCCCAATCAGTTGTAGAGAAAACTCTATCAATAGTTGCAAATAGTGGGTTATCTTGGTTGTTGCTCCTGGTATAAACCCTATTAGTTAGCGTGTTTTTCATAAGCCCCCGTTTATTAATCTAGTCATTGAACAAAAAGGCCCATGAATTATTAATAAGGAACCACTAGCAATCAGACTACTGATGGCTAGCTTCCCATCAGACTAGTCTGCTGCCGTTTTATAACTAATATGTGGGCCGTTCGATTGTCTACCAGCTCGTGCGCCCATGTTGCGGGATTTTTTCAGTTGAGATTTGCAATAGTTACGCATTGAGTAATAACTACTACCTTAAATCATGTTGGATCTTTGCATGCTTCCGTCCTATACCATAACTTCCTCCTACCTTTGCTGCCATATCCAAAGTCGAGGCCTATAGGTTGATGATTCATGGTTGCAAGCAAATTTGCAAATTGAAGGAAGCACATGGGTATGTGTAAAGAAACATATTATTGTTAACTTAGAGAAACATCGAAACATCTCATATCTTTGAAGCATTGCTATTGTATTGAACATATGGAAGCAGTTATATTGGTTTTAGGAGACATTATTCGCTAGAACTTGAAGCATGCATTTTCTGTGTGATGCGGATAATTTCTGATCAAAGAGAACTTTTCCCGTGCTACAGAAGCAACCAACCTATACGATTAAATGTGTTTTAGATGAGTTGGAGATTTCTTGCAGACAAATGACACTTTGTTCGTATGTACACGACAATTTGCTTTAGTAAAGATATATTTGATGAAGTGCTTCAATTATTTCTGCTACTTTCTTCGTACACAAGGGATCAGAGCTCCTTATTCATGGTACACATGTTGCAACTTCCCACAATCGACAATATTGATGCAAAGAAAAGTGAGCCATCATCGCGGTTGAACAACCTAGAGACATGCTTGCCTGGGATCTTGGCTTGGTCAGATTCACCGAACGCCCGAAGCCCTCGATGGGTGTGGGAATAGAGTTGCAAGATTGGGCACACATGTTGTAAAATTATGTTTCTCCATTTGAGAGTTTGCTTCCATGGTGAATGAAGTTTTCTTCGGTCCATTATCGATGACACTGTCGGCGCCTTAGAGTGAAGGTAACATGGGGTGGCATACGGAAAACAAGGTAGCATGGTTACCACTATGTAAAACAAGGTCACACAAAGCATTTGTACAATCAAAGAACATACGAGAAGATAAGGAAGCATTGGCTAATATCAGGAAGCACAAAATTGTGTTATCATAACTGATGCGAGACGCAATAGTAACATCGAAATTCAAGTCCCAAAACCAGAAAAGGTTGCCGAGGAGATTTCAAATTAAGGAATCATGAGGCAATGTTTGCATCCAGCAGTCTATACAATAGAAAAAAATGTACGGTCCATGGGAGGAAAAAAGAAAGAAATGCATGATTGTGTGGCACAAAACCTGTCTACAACAGAAGCACATGCGAGACTTGATGATGCATGGTTGAAATCATAGAGACATGAATTCTTAAATTGACATACTTGAAACCAAGATCTAGGTCCCAAAAGAGAGAAAGTAAATAATGTTGATGCTATCTAGGTCAATTTCAATAAATAAATAAATCTCCAAACAGATCAAGATAAATTTTGTTCTGTTGGTATCTCGGCAAATTACTCTCCCCACAAACATCTGTAATGATTTTCACTATTTTACAGTTTTACATGTGTGTGGAGATAGGTCAATGAATCATGTAATGATTTTCACTGTTTTTACACAATATAGCATCACCTGTACCGCCATAGCGCCGTCACTGGCTCACTGCCATGGAGGAAGTTGCCGTCGTAGGAGGGGAAGCTAGGGAGATGGACGCAGAAGACAATGGAGATGCGACCATCTGGTGGATCAAATTGCTTGTCGGGTGCAGCCTCTATACTAACCACGCGGCCGAGCAGAGAGCCACTGACGGGAAGGAGCCTCTGCTAAAGGGTTCCCCCAATCGCCACATGACTGGGATGATGAGCGATCGTTGTTGAATGGTTGCTGGAAGCAGCGCTATTAGTTCACGTAATTGTAGGGAGT